TTCATTAGAATCATTCAGTCATAATGTCAGGACATATGATATAGATCATTTTTTGAGGAAAGCTTCAAGGATAGACATTCAAAAAGGTAAATTGACTCTTTGCTTTTGTTTGTTGCTTTTATCTCCAATTATAATTTTTAATGTTCAACGTCATAGTTTTTACGAAGCAACTGTTAGTCTTTTTTTATTTGAGAACCTATAAAATTTCGGTCTTCGGGATTCGTTATTCAGTTAAAACTACAAATAATACAGCGCACAAGCTAGATAAGTTATTTTAATTCCGCTCATTCTTCTTTGCTAACTGCTTGCAGCAAATGAAAGACGACTGGCTTTCGTTCACTTGTTACTAATTTCGCAGGCTTACATTTACATTGTGACAATTCACTGTCCTTTCCTACCGCCATCCAATAGCAGATGAATACAATTGTCTATGTGCAGAGTATTTTCTTTCAATCCTGCAGCCTTATTCTAAAAGAATTCGATTTCTCTGTGGAAGGCCTTGGCTTTACGTTTTCGCTCAATGGTCGACGTGCCCGGCTTGACTTGAAGACACTTTGTCTTATCTCATGAGCATCTTGTCGGTCTATCCGTTATGAAATATTTCATTCATCCAAGCTGCATTAGCTTATCTTTAATATAGCACCAATTTAAAAGAATTTGAATATACTCGGCGCATCCAAGGGCGGCATGCTCTGTGACGATCTTTATTTATACTGCTATACTCTAGGATGGTTTTTTTCACCTGACCCAAGTATATTTATGACCCTTATAGGACTCTATGTAGCTGACCTCCACTAAATAACTAGGAGGCTTAGCAAGAACAAAATGGTCAGTGCTTAAAAGTAGTTGTTTGTTATACGAATTAAAATTTATTTATTAAGTTTTACTGTCAAATTGACATTTCCAGACTCTGAAGAATGGGAAACCACCCGCTGTCTTTTCATCAAGGAATGCAATGAATTGAATGAGTCATTTATTTAGAGATCCAGTACTGGGTTGTTTAGAGCTTCTCCACGACATTAGTTTTTTCGTTGCACGATGAGAATTTTCAGCAGTCAAGTATTCGAATATTTCCTTCAGATACTTTAAAGATTCGATAAAATAGAGAGCATTTTTGACAACTTGACCAAAGTCTTGAGATTTCATGGGATCACAAACGGTTCTTGTATATCTTTCGAAACCGACGCCATTTAACATCGGCACGAATAATCAATAAGTTCTTCAATTATTAAGCTAAGACATAGCTGGTAATCAGCTTTATTCGGCTAAGGTTATGACATATTCATAAGTCTGATTGATCCGAGTCGATTCTCCACGCTGGTCGCCTTCGAGGTATGGGTCTTCGTTGTAGCATTCAGTCGATTCTAATGGAGTGGAGCACGGCTCGAGTGAGGAATCTCTCTGGGCAGTGCTGTACTTAGTAATCCGAAGCAATTTTGGTAAAGATAAAGAGAGAAAGATCCGACCATAGCACCCTCATTTTTGATTACTATGATTTGTGGGCCTTAGTAAAGCAGTTTTAAAAAGAGTATTTGGAGCTAGTACATTACCTCTCCTCTCACCCCTCTCACACGAAAAGGGCGCTTATAAGAACATGTTTCGAACAGCAACCAACGTGTGCACGGGTGGAGAGCAGAGAGAGGAGTCCCGAACTTGGCGCGGCAAATAGCCATTTTTAATGGCTATGAAACTGTAGCTGAGGATAGGTGTAGGGAAAATCCTAGGCCTCCAAACGACAACTCTAGCGATAAGAGGGTCCCGTTTATCCTACCCTTCATCTCAAATGATGTAAGTACAGCTATAAAACTTTGCTTAAGAAGGGCGAGTTTAGAGAATTCGGTAAACGTAGTTGAATTATCACCGAATAATCTTAAGCGCCAGCTAGTTCGTAACCGCCTATATGACCGTCTATGTGCAACTCAAAGCTGCATAATTTGCCCCAGTGGTAGAGAGGGTGATTGCATGAGCTCGGGTATAGTTTATCTGATCTCCTGTAAGACGTGTGGTGACGAATACATTGGCGAAACGGGTAGACCCCTCTGTGTCCTCATGAAAGAACACCTAGCCGGCAAAAATAGACCAAATACCCCGGTAGGCACGCATAGGACCCAGAGATATAACGGGGACGACTTCGAAGTATGTGTCACGATCCTCGCACGCGAATCAAGAACGCAGGCGCGAAAAACTCTCGAGGCACTCTGGATTAATTCCAGAAATCCGAAAATGAACCGCAGGGAGGAATGCCTCATTATCACGCGTGATAATGGGCAATATACCATCCTGTTATTCTGGTGGGAGAGGCACATTATACTTCCATGTGAATTCTGTGCGGTTGGTCTCCACGTAACATATTTAGTGGAAGATTCATAGAAAGCGGTGAGTGTGCAAAGCTCTGTTCGATGTGGTCGAAATCTTGGTTTAGAGTTTCTTTCTTTGGTTGCGGAAGTGTCTGGCCGAATAGATTGCTGTCAACTTGACCTTCCCAGGCTGTGAGGAGGGTGAAATCCTCCGAAACGTCAGCTTATTCGTGAATAAAGAATAATAACACCTCGTGTTTGCTCAACAAAAATTCGAAGAATTACTTGATCAATGCCAAGGTTAATAGAAAGTTAGTCGTAAAAGTATTAGCTTAACTACTGAAATAGAAATTTGAAACAACTCTGGTGCTGAGATAATTGCAAAAGTTGGACCCTAGGCCAGATCGAGCATCTACTACCCTTTCCGGTGGCTCAAGTGTAGCACACTTCACCACTGAGTTCCTTGCTTCGCCTTTCTCTTAGCAAGTTTTCTAGTTAATGGTGCTATCATCAATAGCCCGTATATAGGGGAGGGGAGGGGAGGGATATAGGGGAGCACAATAATCAATAGCACAATAGGGGAGCACAAGTCAGTACTGAACCCAGTTGTGCCGTGGGTGTAGTTGAAATCATAATGTTAGCCTTTTGTTTACTGCATATTATTATTTTTCACGGCAGGATATGGTGTAAGAATGCAACACTATGATGCTGAGATATTTGCAAAACTTGGGCGCTATTTGAAAACTTGGACAAGTCGATTTGTGTTTCCCAGATCAATACATTTGAAAAGTGATTGCTGATGGCATCGTTGGATAGTTAACTCGCGAAGACAAATGAAAACCAAAAGCATAATAAATCCAATGTGTAACACTTGAGCCAATGGAAAGGGTAATCGCGGTTTGTTCTGGCCTAGAGCCCAAGTTTTGCAAATATCTCAGCATCATAATGATTGTATTTCACATCATATCTTGTCGAATAATTGAAGCACTGATCATGAGAGAGACCTCTCTCTCTCTCTCTCGCTCTCATCGACTTAGGAAAGCTTCAGTCTCGCTTGAGAAAGAAGCAGTCATAGAAGCCGTGGACAATCAGTACATAACTCAGTACATAAAGTTTCTTCGTGACCTCTACAAAAATCTCACAACCAAGATATCACCATTCTACAATGATATTAACATTGACGTCAAAAGAGGAGTTAGGCAAGGCGATACCATCTCGCCAAAATTATTTACCCCGACACTCCAGGACGTCATGCGAACTTTTGAATTAGATAAGATGGGAGTGAAAATCTATGTTCGGCAATTAAAACATCTTTCCTTTGCTGATGGCATCGTTCTTACAACACCAAACATTAGCCAAGCGGAACGTATGCTTGCCGACTTTAATGAAGCCTGTGGAAAGATTGGTCTTCTACTAAATCTCACAAAAACGATGTTCATGAAGAGCGAATTGGTTTCGCACGCCCCATTCACGCTCAACGGAACGACTATCTCCGAATGCTCCAGTTGTATCTATCTAGGTCGGGAAATCAGAAATCAAAAATGGTGAACGATCTAGGTCCAGAGCTGAGCAGAAGGAAACGAGCGGCATGGAGAGCTTTCAAGAGCGTCGAGGATGTAGTGAAGAGAACAAAGAACACCCGACTCCGTGCCCACCTTTTGGACTCAACGGTACTTCCTGCCCTGACGTATGCGCCAAAAACCTGCTCACTGCGTAAACAGGTTGGAAGATCACTCAGCGTTATTGAACGCGCAGTCGAAAGGACGATGCTAGGAGTACCCGATATCATAAAAGTAAGGGAACGGAATCGAAGCTCCGACCTGCATCAAGTATCCAACATCAAAGATGTTGCTCAATACACCAAACTGTAGCAGATAAAGTAGGCCTGACACGTAATACGTATGAAGGACAACCGATGGTCAAGAGCCGTTAGTGACTGGATTCCTCAGGATGTCAAACGTACTGCAGAAAGACCACTGACCCGATGGTCAGAGTTCTTCACAAAGAGCCTTGAAGAAAGATATGGTGCTCAACGAGACCCTTGAGTGAGCAGAACCCACTGTGCTATTCCACAGGGAAAAATGAAAGATTTAGTGGCGCCCGCTCGAGTCACTCGACGATCAATTTGACGACAGGATGATACAGGCGACGCCCTGCCGTTAGAAATGGTAGTAGGCAGTAAATAAAAAGCTAATATTTGGAGCTTTAAATCTTTTTTAAATTTTTCCTAGACGTATTTGAACTATATTTAGCATTAACGGGTATAACTTTCGATATTCTTGCTAGTAAAAGCTGATTCAATGAGTTCAATTTTGTTAGACAAATCCCAGATCTAATTCGTAACCAAATTTCAATGCCATTCTGTAGCACAGAATAACTTCACCACAACCACTGTAAAATTTTTCGTGACCGTATAACAAAGAAAGAAAAACGAAAGCGATCGCCATTGGGGCACGGGTAGAATAAAAGAGTCATTTGGCAAGTCGCTCATACATCGTAAAATAGAATTATGTTGAATAACTAAGTAATTAATGGAGAATCTAATCCTATACTCTACAACTTGAGCAAGCGGTTCGCAAATTGCTGACCTTCATACTTCACACAGCACGTAGGTGCTTCCGATATTCACATACATGCGGTAATACCTGTCAAAAAATCATACTCGAGGTACTTTCTCCTTTACCTACTTAACACTCTCATTTGTTAAATAAAATTCTTTAAATAACAACAAATATCTCTAGACATATCACTTCTTACTAAACTATACGGCATATTACATATTCCGTGAAATGCTGATTTATAGTGTCTCCATTCACATGGAACGCCTTCTTCCTGCAATTTTCTAACATACTGAATTCCCTCGTCTCTGAAAAATACACAACATCAACCAACACTTCTGAATGAGAAGAGGAAAAACAAAAATGTTAGTGAAATAGTTATGCAATACCTTAATAGATCGTATTCAGCTGTTAACACCATAGCGGGTGGAAGATCTCTTCGTACACCAAGTAATGGCGAAACATCCGGATTAACTCCTTTTGTTGAAAATGTTTCGAATAGAATATCCTCTTCCTGTACGAAATCATCGGAAGCATATTTAATGTTTTTTTTCGTCAGCGCGAAAAAATGGTGTAAAGCGATCTCGCCCACCTGGTTACACTTGCTGGTGTTTGATTTCAGAGATTTTTTCGGATGTTCTACAGTGTGGCCAACCATCGCAAGGATTTCTTTTGAGGATTTCAATTTTCTTAACGTGTTAGTTTAAAATTTTCTTAATTAAAATAAAAGCATAAAGGTTCTGTAAAAACATTTACTCGGAAATGTGCTGATTTGCAATTAGTCTTTCGACGTTCCGTCTACTCGCTGGCAATCCCAGATAGAGAAGAATCCATCGAGCCATAGCACGAGGATTCAGTAACGATGTACCATTGTATCTTAAGCATGCCAAATTTTTTTTATCCACGCATCTATTGATCAAAAAAGAGATAAATGTAACGGACTTTTCATAATAGGCCAGGTATGAAGGGAGTTGAAATCCGAATACGTGAATTACAGGATAAATGAGCACTTGACACTAAAATTTTCGTTATTTAACGAGAAGTAATTTCGATCTGTTATATAACGATTTTCGACGAGATTAGAATAATTACAGAATGATCATCAATAGATAGTAGTAGATTGTTGAGTAGATTGCATTCTATCATTTGAGTGGCGTCGCACGCATTCGCGACGGACGACGTTCATTGCTATTGAGCACAGCACTACCAGCTACAGTTGACCACCTTGGTATTTTACTGATAGTACCTAATGATTCCACCTTAATAAAGTGCTCATCTCTTCTTGACAGTCGTTGCACAACAACAGCAGCAAGGTTTCCACCAGCGCTATCACCAGCAATGCAGATTTGATCACGGTCTATATCGAATCTCGCCCAACTGAATGAGAAACAAGATCATTTGTCGAAAAATCATTTTCAGTGATAAATCGCATCACTTTCATTATTCGATCAGGCAACAATTCATTCATTTTATTCAGAACAGCAAAATAGGTCTATGTTCTGAAAAATTCGGCTGAACAATTACTTCCTTTGGCTTTTAATTAAGCTCTCTTGTAAAATATTATTACAATATTAACGCTTTTTCACAGACTAATATACTATTGAAATTTATATAGAACAAGCCTGCTGTAATACAAATCGCTCACGACAGCTTCACAGTCATCAACTGGACACGGAAAAGGATATTCTGGAGCTAATCGATAATCGATCGAGAATACAGTCACTCCAAGGCGCTTCACAAAAGTGCCAATTAAGTCGTCATAGTAGACTTAAAATACACGTATATATCCTTACAAACCGCTCTTGTTGAGCTGAAGCGAGCTTGGTATCAGTTGCTGTTGTCGTCATTTGGTGCTCTACTTTTCGGCGATTTCGTCTTCTACAGACCGTGGACGTATTTTACGAAACGATATCCTTGCAATTCGGTGAACTATATTTAGTATTAACGGAAATAACTTTCGATATTCTTATATTCTTGCTGAATATTCTTGCTATTCTTGATATTCTTGCTGAAAAGACACGAGGTCTTACTTTATTCTTTATTCCTTTAAAGCTCATGTTTCGCTAGTACCGCCTTCTTCAGAGCCTGGAAGGCTATGTTGATATGCAATTTACTACGTCATGCTTTAATAAAAGATACAAAAAGATAAAAATTTAAGTGCCAATCACACGTTCAACAACTTCTCGAAAACCCCAACGTTTTTTATGAGCCTTCCACTGAGGAAGAACAAATGATTAGAGTCGCATATGATCATGGTAATGTGTGTGATTAGCATGCAGATTTCTACCTTTCTGTTTGTGTTATTGAAGCGCTTGGCATCGTACATTGCGTACCAATATACCCTTCCAGACTCTGAAGGAAGAGGTACTGTTGAAACGTCAGCTTTGCTGGAATAATGTATAAAGTAACATCTGCGTGTTTGCTCAACAAGAGCATCGAGAACTATCTGATCAATGGCGAGGCCAACAGAAAGTCGGTCGTAGGAATTGCTAATGAAGATCTAGTACACAAATGAACGGCATCTTATTTAAAAATTTGTTCCGTTTTTTTTATTTATATATTCTTATAAACTGATCTTCGCAAGCTGGTGCCAGGTTTGGGACTCGTACTCGTAACACCACGGCTCTGAGGAAGGCGAAGTCGCCGAAACCTCAGCCATCGACCATCAACATCAAACAGCAGAGACAACAACGACAACCAAGACCTATACCAACCTCGCACCAGCTTAAAAAGAACAGTTTATAAGATCATATAAATAAATATATCAACTATCTACGCGGAAGTTCATAGAAAGTCGGTCTTTTGAGTTATTGCCCCGTTTTGTTAGCTATGGGACCAACCGTGTGTTGTTGTTGTTCACATGGGATGACGAGTGAGATCAATCCGAAACACAAAATCAATCTAAGAAAAGGCGCCAAGTCACGTGTGATATTGAAGCATTCGTCTTTCCAGTTCATCTTCAGGCTTTGAAAGCTTATCCAAAACGCCTCAAGAGTCTTGCGCCTCCATATTTTTGATTCCTGAGGGTTTAATGATAATTATGTTGTGATTCTGACGACGACGACGAGCCATTTCCTGGAAGTAAAAGAATGGCTATTACCTAGTTGCAGCTGTTTACAAAGTAGAACAATTTACGAGAAAGTGTGATTCGATGACGACATTGCAGTAGTACGTAGTTTTGCCGTTATTGGGACTACGTCTTAAATGTTCCAAAGGTTCTAGATAATCATCGGTAACGACTCAGAGACTCTAGCCCATTTTCTCAGATTACTTTTCGATCTGGATGAGTTTAACTGATCATCTCACGTAGACAACACATGGGTGGCCCCACACCTTACAAAGCGGTGAGTAGTCTTTAAACAATATGGTATTCACTTACATAGCAGATCTTTGATAACACTATAGATAGTACACCGAGTTACATGGATAGCGTTGCATAAAACACGCCCACACTGTAAACAAGGCGAATTCACCGAAATGTTAGTCGTCAACCGACAGCAGCAATAACAGCGGCAGCAACTGATGCCATCCTCGCGTTAGTTCAACGAGGACAGTTCGTACGAACAGATATGTATATAGTTATGCCGACGTTCATAGAAAGTCGGTCTTTTAGGGGTTAAAATAGTTGAACACCTTCAACTATATTACTGTCTCATTCTACTAGTTCTGATGTTTCAGTAGAAAGAAAAACTATACCTGCTCTCATAGTTGCCCAGCCGCCACCGTGAATAAAAACTAAAGCCGATCGTCCCCGTTTCTCACATGGCGTATAAACTCTTACGCTTGTACCAGCAATATACTCATTAGTGACCTGAACAAGTCAAGTAGTTTCAAGAGGGAAGTTTTGCATTGTTCCAAACTAGCGGCGAGCTATGACAACAAACTTGTAAGCACTTATTTATTAGACCAATTCAATCCGGTTTGCACGGACCATACAGAACTAGTCGTCGCCGTAACACCGACGCCCGCCAACAACAAGAATCTTTGTTCGACTATCAAAAAAAGCATAAGCTTATAACCGACTAGCTTAACGGTTAACAAACTTTCCACAATTTTCAAGCCGTTAAAGGACTTATTTCATAGCTCTCAGCTTTAAAAACTTCATGGTTTAGCATGGTCTGATTATTAATATCTGCAGTATAATGATACCTAATAAAGTATCAAAATCGATTTGATTGTTCACAAAAAAAGGCCTAGAGCACTAAAGTTTATATACTTATATATAGAGTATTGCCATTATTAATCATAGTTATTAGTTTAAAGGGGGTAACGATATGTGATTTTCTATCCTTTATTATTAGTTCATTAAATTTAGCGTAATGTTGGCGTTAATCTTAGCCATTCACTCACTGTTTCTAATCAGTACCCACTGAAAACTCCAAAAACAGTAGCAATAAATTCTTGGAAAAATGATGTTTATTAAAGGTACTTCGTCGGAAATACGTTGCCTTAGGAGAGACAGCGAAGGGAACCTTCGATGGAGTTTGTAAAGTCGAAAAGTGCATCGCGTTGAAAACTGGTTGATCGAATACACCGAGAAACCATGTGGAAAAATGCTTCATTTTGGAAATGCCAATGGTAATATTGAATCATCAACGGAAACTTAAGAAGAAGAAAATGGAGAAAGAGAGAGTGACTGGAATGCTTAACGACCAAGGAAGCAGCTGAAGTAAATGGAAAAGGAAGAAGGAGTGAAAAGAAATGGCCTTTGAAAATTATCGAAATCGCAAGGTATTATGGTAGATACTATGCTCTTTCACACAAACTGGCATCGCTGTTAATTATTGGTCCTTTAGATTCTAAACGTTTTCACCAAAAAAGAAGAAGAAAAAGAAAACAACGAAGGAGCAATAGGTTGTTCGCTTGCAGTCAATCGCGAAATGGCGCAATGGTTAATGATGAAAGTCAATGAGGCTCAAAGTTGTCCTCGTTGTAAAATGGCGATTGTAAATGTGAATGTTCACCTTCATATGCGATGGAGATGGCCAGGGAATAATGTATCCAATAGCTATTAAGAATCGAATGTACTGATTTCGAATTCGAGGTCCGAATAAATATTCGATCAAATCACCCTAAATTCTCGCTATTCTGAAATGTAGACTGACGTCTATTCACTGAAAAAAGTATTTCGTTCATAATGTTCTCTAGCAATATAGTGAGAGCTTTTCTTCTAATGTTAGATATACCGGATACTCGTAGCCGATCCGCAATAGAATCTCCAATACTTGCAATTTCTTTCGATCAGCAATTTCCGGAGGAAGTGGAATATGCAGTAGGAATATGGCCATCAGAAAAAACAGACAAACAGTTGTCCAATACAAAATCGACCACATCGTTGTGTTTGTCGTCTGAAGAAAACACTAGCCTTATGTAGTCATAACAGAGCTGTGCTAAATGAACAATTAAAACTATAAAAAGATTAAAGAAAACATGAATGAACGAGAGACAACGGAAAGAGAAGAGTCAGAAAAACGGAGACAAAGGGAAAAAACATGCAAAAAGCGTCGTTGTGTGATGAGAATTTTCCTCTACCAACTTCTTTCCTATCAATTGCGATATCGCAAGAAAAATGATACGTGATATCATTGATTTCCGTCTTTTTAAGTGATTCCATTGCAATAGACTGGAACTAAACTGCAGGATTAATGAAGTGCGATAATGGAAAACGTAGACAACAAATTTAAGCCTAAATAGAACTAAACACGACAAAGAAAACCTAGAGAGATGGCCAGGAAAACATAGTAATGGTAATAGTAGTAATCATAATCGATTCTCCATTATTGTTACTAACAGTACTAACAACGAGAAATGAAAAAAAGTGGAACGAATTAGGTTAGAAAGCAACGATAAACAACGGTTTCGAAAGGAATTCGCGTTACCTAGCCTACATCGAAACTGATAAGAAAACTTCGATAAACATTCAACATGGGGAAATTGATTCGAAAATGAATTAAACGGAAGCGAACAGAAGCGAAACCAGGAGAACGGTTGAAGGTAGACAAACAACGACATGAATGAATAATAACAACAACAATAATAAAAGCCTCGTGTTTACCGAACAGAAATAGGAAGAATAATAAAAGCAATAATAATATTAGTAGCAACAATGAGAGAATCAGTCAACCTATTGTTTCATCGCTTCTTTATGGAGAAAAGGCATTCTTGGATGTCACGATAGCACGTTCAGCGGCTGTTCTTCACTAGTACACCGTTAATAACGCTAAGAAACAGTTCGACGTTTCAATCTAACTAAAGGCTCAGTATCTAAAGTTCAATGTCTATCTTTGAGTAAACTTTTTCAGAAATCAGTGTTCTCATAAGAAAAGAAATCTAATCGCAAATCTTCATTCGATCGACAATAACTGGGGCGATTGCCTGTAGTCCCTGACACGACTCATCTCATACAGTTCCCAGGCAAACTTGCCCAAATAGTCCTTCAGTCTAGTAGAGAACAGTGCTGAGTTCCGCATGATTCGATTCGTCATGAAGACCATTCGTTACAATTCTGATTAAAATGTCAATACTCAGAATAATTGTAGTAATAGTAATAATTATGATGATAGTCACAATGACGATAGCATAACAGCAATAGATGGCGCAACGAAATTAACCGCCTTCACTTGACGATCCCTGAAACTCCATTTACTGTTAAACAATTATACTTCCAGCTGTTTCCAGCGTGCGAAAAATGGAATGATATCGTGTTTGATGAACTCCGTTCGTGGGAAAAACCACGTCGGAAATCGGCGTGCGTAGTCGGCGCTAAATATTCGTTTATTTATTTCCTTAATTAATCAACAAGAACTCGCATATATACAAAAACACTTATGCTGGGAAAAACATGAAAATGTAAACTGTGCTACAAATTCTGCTAATCACTAAGATAAGAGAAGGAAATCCTCATATAAATATTATGAAAAAGGTCAGAATTAGCACCAAAAGTGTTAACCGAATCGTAAGTATACGAATGGAAGAACTGCAACCGAGTAAAACTGAATGGGATTCACTAATCACGTTTTTAGCGTGGGTGCGTGGATCGGTGGGTAGCCGGCCAACAACGTCCTCTACTCAACCCTCTAATCCCTCGGACTGAATTCCTGTTGTCGCGATACTGGGCCCTGTTTGAGGGATGAAGAGCGCTCCCGCTTGATAGCAGCGCAGCAACTAGTTTGACTTTGGAGCGAGAACGACATCACATGCGTTTGCACCGGCCTCAATGCAGAATGTCTTCAGCTTTTGACGGTTCTATTATTAACAGAAGCCATATCCACTTTTTGTTCAGAATATGATGCACTGTGATCAAAATAGGATTATATTTAGCCGAATTCATTCGCATGAATCTTCATCGTCGAAATAATTGGCGATTTTGTCGCTAACCGGCCAGATAGCTGCCTAGAGAAGCGTTGCGGCGACAAAATCTTCCACGCAGATAATTAGTCACTAATGCGCAAAGGATACGTATGAACGACAACATAATGTGTATGAACGGCAACCGATGGACAAGAGGCGTTGGTAAGTGGATTCCTCAGGATGTCAGTAGTACTGTAGAAAGACCAGTGACCCGGTGGTCAAAGTCATTCAGGAAAAGCCTAGAAGAAAGGTAAAATGCTCAACGAGCCCCTAGAGTGAGCAGAACCCACAGGGCTACTCTAACAAGCAATAGAGATAAGTGGAAGACTTACTAGCGCACTTTTGGGTCACTCGACAACCAACGGAACGACAGGTGAATGAGCAAAGAATACCTACACACATCATTTGACGGATTACAACACCAGTATGGGCTTGCTGTCATTGCTAGGAACTCTTACACCGCAAAGATTAATTTTTTTAAGTTTGTTTTGTTTTGAAGACTATTCTAGAAAGCAGTCAAGTACTTTCTAACTAAATATACTGTGCTCTAAAACTACGTTGTGATCTTTTAATAAAACCGTATTCCCTCAACATTAAGGCATACTGTATTAGCTAATCTAAAATATGTTCTACTACTATGTTCGTTATACCTGGTATTATTTTTCGTCATATATTACAAAAATTGGACACGAGTAACACATTTGTTAGAGGTGCCTTGCAATATGCACTCAGATCGACCATCAGTCCGATACCTCGCCACGGGCTAACCCAGGCTCTCTAACACTCCTTTGTCTAATATTAAGTAGGTACTAAACTTTCCTGGGAGTATGAAGACATCCAGGAAAGCTCAGAGAAAAAGTAAAAACACGGACTTGATACATCAATAGTACACTATGTCTTAATGTAAGCCAGATATGCATTCAGTGACCTCTATAGTACTAGGAATGGTGTCAGATGGCCTGCCTCATTAATGGATTTCGTGCGAAATATGACACAAGCGAAAAAAATTAACTCAACAAATACGGAAATATCTGGCTGCCTTGTAAGTTAAAAGACCATTGTCACTTGTCTGCGAAGAACTATTAACTAAACCACTGTGAGTGTGAGAATCCAAAGTTAGATCTATTTTTATCAGAAAAAAATATTCATGCGACCTTGTTTGCTGAAGTTATGGTACTTTGCAAATTTATCATTCAGGATATGATATACCTTTTGTGACCTGTTTCGTTCTTAGCAAGAGCTATTAAACAAAAAGAAAAAAAAACGAAAAAAAAGCTATGAGAGCAAAACAAGATAAATGGCAAAGGGATAGTCAATTTCTGCGTCGATCCTTACCGATTTTCGGAACATTGGATACAACATTTTTCGAGTAACTGCAACCTTATTGAAGGAGCAGGAATAAAATGGAAACAAAGAGTAGAGTGAATCTCAAACAACACAGTGACGTAAAGCGGTGATAGAGAAGCAAAAATCAAAAGTTGTGCAGAAGACAAAATCTTGTTGCTTGTTTGTGATTTAAAAAAAGGTGGTCAACAGGGATAGAAGAGCCCTATTCAATTTATGCAATATTGCAGCCATACCAAAGAAGTTTTTAGATTGGAAAAGCTGATAGGAGTGGACAGAACAGTAAAACTTTTCTGGTAATCTAAACCGACTCGTTCATTGGAATTCATGTAGACCTACTGTCCCAATCTCTCGTACTGCTGGCCAAAGACGTTTGGGCCCGTCATGAATACAAATGCACTTCACGCTTTTTTTCTTTCAAAACCCATCTAATTGAGAAGAGAACGGTAATTTCTAATCAGTTTAATTTTAATCTATTAATATTTTATTGCGTTTACTTTAGAAAACAGATCACGAGAGCCACCAAAATTATGGTGGGTAGCGTGTAGCGCAATGGTTAGAGGCACCCTGCAATACACGAACATCAGTCCTGAGCCCCAGACTCGCCATACCCTTCATCCTTCCGAGGTCGGCAAATTGGTACCGGACTTGTCTGGGAGATAGCAGTGGGGACTCGATACCATGGCTAGTCATTGTAAAGGACAGATATGCACTCAATCACCTCCAAACGATGCTTAATGAAGACGAATGCATGGCACATCCTTAGGAGACTGATCGACGCTGAGAGCACTACCTTTTTCTTTACCAAGATTGTAAATAGATAGCTTTATCACTAAATGGAATTATTTATTTCTCATGAATAATTCACGTATAATAGGGCTGAAAGCACGGTGGTAGTGATGTTTGCACGAGCATGGTGCCAGTTCGATTACGCTCCGAGCAAACCAAGCGTCTCATCCCTCCGCTGTCGGGAAATTGGTATCGGACGTCTCTAGGAAGAAATCACTGTCTGCAGTCCAGCTGGAAACGCTCCAGCCCGGCCATCTCAGGACTCTAGGAAGAATTTCTCCCGACCAGCATTCTACGACATTCAAAATGAAATGGAAGTCCTCAAACAGCTACCGAAGCCGCACGTAAAAAATAAAACTTGGAAGACCTTCTTGGACGATGGATGTGAGGAAACGTGTTGGATGTGAGCAGTTCTGGGATCCGCACGGTAAACTTGAAAACGGATCAAATAAGGAAAAATTCTTGTACACAAGAGCACTTAGGTCGAAGGAAATGTTAGCTTATCAGTGAGATGAGGTGCATTAACGTCGAATGTTCATTCCCACAGAGCGATTACCATAGAAGTTTACGGTATCCAATAGAGAAACTGAGGAAAAATTTGACAACACGGGATCAACATGGTGAGTAAGTGATAAGATAAAAAAAATGAACATAAGCACAAATAAGGCGACCTCATTTTCCGATTATTGCCATTTTTCTTTCCTCTTTTCCGAGATGTTCCCACTGTTTGATTGGAATGTCTGGCGTTTCTCCAATACGTGTCAAAACGAATATATGTAGTCAACGAGTTTAATCCATAAGAGAATGTTACTAGGCACTGTTTCTAGCGTCATCTTACTTTACAACGTTCACTGCATAAAAAGTTTTTCATTCTCATCGAAAATTTTCTTCACCTCTACAGCAATTCCTGCTCTCCTTAACGTTTTTCCTTAAAAAAAATGACCATAAATCATTGAAGGTCTCTGCATATTCTTTGGAGAACATAACATAACAATTCCGTGACAAGAATGATGACGATTTAAGTAAGAGCGATCAACAGTGATAACATCTTCAGAGAGATATGTGGCTTGAACTGTGTTCAGCGAAACTTTTGTGACTTTTGTCTCTCTCGCTCAGAATCATTCCATCAATCATCGGCCATTTGACAGCGATGTCTTTGTCAAGAGGGTCAATTCCTGAAATGTTAACATCTTTAATTTCGAAAAACTCTCGCAATTGAAAACTCTGTACCACTAACCAAATTCCGTTCTTGGATCATAAGTGGTTGTACATTTATAGGCAACATGTGCTCCTTCTTTCGATAGGCACTAAAATTCCAGAATCGAATATAAACAAAGCTAACGAATACTATTAGCAGTGAATTCTAAGATGAAACCAAATCTGAATTATGCATTAGTGAAGGATCGATAAGGAGGAAGACGAAGTTAGAATGAATCAGCAGAGTGGGCTGTTGTTTATTCAATCATCGTTTTGTAGTCTCCGAACGTTATGATGAAGTTAGAAGCTTATTCAGAACGATAACTACTAAATGAAATCAATCAGATGCAGTTGTTCGTCAAGTTTTTGTAGTTCATGAGCTTCGATTTACTCTCATGAAGGAAACTGTATATAGTAATTATTAATTAAATCATTGTCGTCGCCAATGTACACATACTCCCACCAACGCCTCTCCTTGTAAGAGTTACCATTTTCGGGTGTAGAACTCTAATGAACAACAGTTAATCATTTCTTAGTGCAGTTACTCGAGTTGAAGAAGTCCGATATTTCCGTCTGATGCTTAGCTAGAAATAAAATCGCTGCTAAGTTGGAATAAACTTAACTACATGGTGTTGATCCAACACTCCTATCATCTATAAGGTCAGACACATGTTTGTGAAGACGACATGGTAACGCCTTACCACGACTATTTCACGGGTGCAGAAAAGTAGTTACTTTCAACTAGTAAAATACCAGCCAATATGCAAGTGCACCTAGACCTGTACTATCCATGGTAAATCCAAGCTACCCAAAATCACCGTTTATTCCCGATTTGGACAGAGAAACATCATTAACACGAGGCCTTCAGTTCCGCCGTAATCTTGTACACAATAGCTTTAAAACTTTAAAGACCTTGCCGACGTCGCAAACTAGCAGTGCTAAACTCTCTTATACGAATTAACTTTAACATATCTTTTTACCTGGAATCCATGAGCAAAACCATTGGGTATCCATAAGGAGTCGCCATTCACCTCACTCAGAGTGACACCATGCCATTGCCCATACGTTGCACTACCCGGTCGAATATCTACGGCTACGTCGAAAATCTCGCCAGAAATCTTTAATTACATATATGGAGCACGAACAACATTGTGTCATATTCGACTAAATAAAAGCAGCAATATGTTGCGATCAGTAGCAAATTTATTTTTATATACTTTCCCTAACCTGTACCTGTGGTTTGAGACACTGAGAATTAACTCACCACCGATACAAGTTTTCCCATACCTGGCTGAGCGTGGAGTCCTCTTACAACGCCTTGAATCGAAAATGAGTGATTGTCCTGCATTGATATCTGGTATTAGCTGGCTGCAATTTTCATGCAACACACATAAAATTACTTGTTTGAAGACTTCTTTGAAGTCAAGTTCCTCAGACCACTCAGTTTCGTTATAGGTTTCCACGAAGTAACCGCGGTTGTCTGGGAATACCTGCACTATAGGCAATTAAAGAGCGGCTATACATCATTATTTTGTTATAAATAACCTTTTTCCTGATTATTTTAAGGTCCGGCATTTTTTCAACAGCTTTTATTGCCGCCCTTGCTCGCCGATGCTGAGACATCCTGATGTGATCTGATGTGAGATACATTACCACTCTACGGCGATCGAAAAACAAGCAATGAAAAAAGGCACGAAGAATTAATGTAAACTCGTGAAAAGCGTCGTCGAGTCATACCTTATAGAACTAAACACTTCAGTTAACATTTCAGCCACAAGTAAAAGATTTTTTTTCTTCTGTTCAAAATGTGGGAACTTGCCGGAATTTCTAAGACAATAGATTCCGTGAAAAGAAGTCAAGTAGGTATTTTAGTTCTCTTCGCTTAATTTTTTTCTATATTTCCCCTTCACTTTTTCTTCTTTGCATAGGACAAATCCGAATTCCTTCACCAATAACGGAAGGTGTTCAACATGGAAACCATCTACAAAATAAGGTCATAAGACTTCATTTTCTAACTTGCTAAAGTCTTAGCGTTATTTTGAGGGAACGTCGAAATTTTCATCAGAAAACGGCACAAGTATAACTCATAGACTCTGGTTTTCCCAAGCTATATCAGCTTTCACGTTTCCATTTGTTATAAAGATAAAGGAGACCAACATACACGGTTCTAGAAGTCACGATTGAACAAAAAAAAATCAATACCAGCCGTGACTATCTATATTATTCAAGCGATAAATAAAATGAACTCAAAACACAGGTGACGTTAGTGCTACTTGCACATATTTCTTAGATTCTATTGGATTTCCAGTAAAGCTGACTGTTGATGATCAATAGAAGTCTGTCACTGTCTTTCTATGGTGCCACATGTCAGTGCTGTTTAACGGTAGGAAAACTAGATGTGACACATAATGAAACATAAGTATCATCAAATAAATAGATAGGATACTAGTACTTTGAAAAGTTGCTCATAGCTAAGATATGTAGTGACCAGATTGTTAACTAGGTCACCGACCAGAGCGCTGTCCAGATCGTTCCACATGCCGAACGTCCTTGATTCGTACTATTGAGATCGAATCAAATGATGAAGAAAGGAAAAACGAAGAGCAGAGACCTGACTTTATGTGTCGAATAGGTTCATCTCATAGAGTTCTAATCCACTTTGATGTCGGCCGGTATTCTCCAGAAAGCATCATTGCATTTCGATCAGAAGCACTTCGAAAAGGATCTTAAAAGAGTAATAGCGAATTTCCGCTGAGCTTTAACATCTTCATTTAAAAGTTCCGGATATCTTTAGATAGCGAGTTATTTAGGTGGCCAAGATAACACGCATTTCATTTCAATTTTTCCCTTCAACATTTGTAAATCCTAAACAAATGTGCGTAAAGGATAAAGGATAAAGCTGTCGACGTTCATAAACCCCTGATGCGTTCGACATCGTTAAGCATCGTTTGGAGGTGATTGGATGCATATCTGGCCTTTACAATGATTTGAGGGGGCCTAAAGATGTATCGAGCCACTGCTGCTATCCTTCCAGACAAGTCTGGTACCAATTTGCCCACCCCGGACGGATGGAGGGTTTGGTGGGCCATGGGCGCGGGAAGCGATTCCACGTGTGTGCTACAGGGCACCTCCGACCACTGCGCCACACGCGCCCGTGCGTATGTGTATAAGAACGCTACGTAACGTTGACAAGCACATACACAAATGCACGGTTTTTATCTTAAAATTGCATTTTTACAACTCCTCCATATGGAACACTTCGTGAAGAAATAATGACCACTAAAAAGTGGCTCAATTTCAATATGGAATATTTGAAGTTTAAGTACTATTTCGTGGTTGGCAGGTTGTTCTTCCAAGATGTTCCGGCCGGACACACTCACGTTTTACGATCGCATAATTCCAAATCTTGACTGAGCTATGAAAATAATGCTTCAAAATATCAGTACCAAATCACAAATAGGTCTCAAATTGAATACTATGTCCATCACTTCTCATCAGGTTATCAAGTTGTGTAGAATTTTTGTCTTTTCTTTAATTACGTCCGATTTTAACACTAGCGATAACACTGATAACATGAAGACTAACTTTTTCGAATTCTTTGAATAAGTCGGTTTTTAAAATAATGTTACGGTCTGTGCTAGTTGATAATGATACCGATAAATTGCTTATCAACCTCGTATTAGTTTATCAATGAAAGAGTATACCCTGATCAAAATCAGCATCAATAACAACAGCCAGTAGTGAATTCACTACAGCAGCATTCTTCACATAAAAAACGTGGTCGTAATGGACCAACCTCTGTAACGTTCTCCATTATTACAACGAAACTAGAACCACCAGTATAGTGTGTTCCGATGATAACGTTTCCAAGATGTAAACTACCTTCGAAGAACTACAAACAAACAATTTAATATTATAAATGGTGTCTTCTCAATTTAACAATCCACCATGGTATTACGAACGTCCTTCTCCAGCTAGATGGCATTGTTCAGAAATTTTGCATAATAACCGACATATTTTCACAAATTCGTTTTTCGTTTCCATACATTTACACTTGGTGGCGATGATAAAAATTTAAGGCCTATATATACACAACGTACCAGTCGATAATGATGATAACACCTGTAGGTAAGTTGATAACAATTGTACATAAATATAGCAATACCTAGACTGGTAGGTCAACCTATAGAAGAACTTATTCACGCATGGCGACAGTCAATAAATACAAAGGCAATCGAGAAAAAAGAAGTTAGCACAACAATCTGACTAATAAACATAGAAGATGTCAGTGAGTAACAACAGACAAACATTAATGAAGTGAAGACGTAATCAAAATTGGTCAAGAAATGACTGGCAGAACGTAATGCGAAATCAATAGCAAACAGTAGAAAACTGCTTCTGGTGAATGTTAGTAGGAAAACAAAAACTGAGATCAAATGAAACTAGCAATTTTTGAAACTTTTCTCACTAACTGCAGGAAACTATGCCTCACTCTTTCCAAGGCTCAACATAGCTCAGCGGAAAGAAACCAACCTGAAAAACGAGTACACAAAAACCCAAGGAGAAGTATGTACAGTAAATAATTTAATAACACTTGCCCAGCAAGATACTTACCCTATCAGCTATCTGTCCTTTCCACCATCCCCGATCTTCACCTATAACGTCTACAAGCGTCAAACGGTCACCTTTACGCAACGTTAAGAATTTCGGCTCAGTGGCATCGAAGTCATGGATTACACGGTACAACTAAAGAGAAATTCATAATTTCAGTGAATTTAAAGACAGTACAAATAATAACTTATAAAGAGGAATTTCCAAGCCAAGTCATTGAGGAAAAAACAAAAAAAATCGCCAAACCTTGCATGTTCTGTACGCATTTTTCAGAGTCGTATTCAGCGAGTTAAAGCTTTCGCAAAGGTTGTTTTCCCTGTAGTAGTTCACGAGCTCCTGAACAGTGAATTTATAAAGTGCTGCATCAATTTTCATTATTAGAACGAGAGTATATGATCATTTTCACGGTATTCAAACTTAATGATTACATTAGTTAGAAATTCTTCCGCCCGTGATTCTACCCTCAGAAGTTCGACTGGCGATGGAAAGCATGAAGAGAGGCGCAGATTCAGGACCCAGTAGTACTACTGCCGACTTCCTTCGAGCTGAAGACCATAAATTATATGTACTTCCTAACACATATGACATCTTGCCTTTGGAAAGCGAGAATCGCGGACCATTGGAGAACATCGAGCACAGTCATCCTGCTCAAAAAGGGGAACTGAAGGAATCTTCGTAACAACCGTATATGCTTGTTGAGTGCACTCTACAAGCTGCTCATGAAGATTAACCCTTAAGACATATCGAAGACCTTGGACGGCATGCAACCAGCTGGACAAGCAGTATTCGGAAAGAAATTCTGCTGTACGAACCACATCCAAATCCTAACCCGGGACATAGAGTTCTGTCGGAACCATTAGCAGCCTCTTGTCCTAATCTTTATCGATTACGAAAAAGACAGTGGACCCGTCGTATATACGAGCATTAGCTGACCGTTGTTGGAACTGCAGCACAAATATACAGCTTTTCCGGTGACCTTTCCCACGACCATAACAAAAGAAAGGGAATATTCCCACAGCTGTATACAGCTGCACTGCAGTGGATAATGAATTCATTCGAATCGGACAAGAATTACGTAGATACTGATAGAAAATCCCTACAAAATCTTCGTTTTAAGGATGAAATCGTTATCTTTTCAAGAAATAACGATGAAAGAAAAACGATACTAAATGGGCTCAGCAAAGCGGGAAAAAATATTGGACTACGCATAAATAGACCAAAGACCCAGCTCATGAAGAACCCATAATGGCACACAGACCACCTCGCTCGTGTACCTAACACGTTCAGTAAGCACGGGTGGCAACATGAAGAAGGAGTTAGTCAAGAGAAGCAGAGTAGCATAGGCCGCATTCGTGCCACTCAAGGAGGCCACTGACAAGCTAGCGGGCCTAAAACTCCATGGTTACCTTTACTCAACAACATTCTCAGCGGTTTATTACGCAGCAGGGACATGGCCTGATACTCTGACCACGTCAAGAACTCTGATCAACAGCCACATGGCGCTTGAACGCTGTCTTCTTAAACTGAACCTCACCCACAATGTGAAACCGGAATAAGCGGCTCAGAGCTTTGAAACCTACCTCACCTTCAAGATCCAGAAGAATATAGATCGATATCGAAGCAAAAATGAGCTTATCACATAAGAAGAACAGATGAAAAGTGGACGAAAAAACAGTTGGGTGTGCTCAAAGAGAATGCAAGCGTTCTCTTGGAAGACCACCCAGACGATAGGGGATGTGTTCGTGCCTAACACCAACCTACTGCATTCGCAGATGGGAACTATTTTAGGACAACGGAATGGACGTCGCGAACGTCACCATGTTCGAAGCAGGCGACCACCGCAGACAACCTTAGCGTGAGACGAGAACGAATGGAAATTTTACTGGGGACCACATTAGTAGTGAAGACGCGCCACCAAAGCATCTATGTAAATTTGTAGGAAATAATTCCTACATGAAATTGGTTTCCATGCAAAATAAGTCTCACCACTATGCTGTTGAACACATATCCTTCATCTAGGTAATAAATAGTGCTGTCTCGTTGCTCGACGACTGTGTGCTTCACTTCATTTTCGTAACTGAAAGTTTATAAATAATACAATTACTAGCACTAAAAAACTAATGAGACATATGCAGTGCAATAGCTATAGGTGTCCTGCAATACACACTAAATCGGTCGCTGGTTCGACCTCCGCCCCAGCCTTACCACACCTAACCCTCTGGATCGGCAAATTGCTAGTAGAGCTCTTTGAGAAGGCAAAAACTCCTATTTAAATCATTTTAAGCAATCCAAAGTCATTTTACAGGCCAGATTTGCACCGAATCGCCGCTACGATGCTTGATGAAAACGAATTCACAGCGCAACTCTGACGGATTGATCAACGGGGAACGCTTTTACAGATAACTGACACCCATCAGCACTATATGACCTCAAGTTCACAAGTAAATGTCAACGATCGCAGAACTGTGTGATGCAGAAAACACCTTGATCCCCGTGAACCCCGTCATCACGAGCATGGTGTTAGTTCGATTCCGCTCCAAGCCAACCAAACCTCTCATCCCTCCGGGGTCGGGAAATTAATGCCGCACTTGTCTGCGAAAAAATCACTCTCTGCAATCCAATTGGGAACGCTCCAGCCCGGCCATCTCAGGACTCTAGGGAGAACTGCTGTTCGACCAGCATTCTACGACATTCAAGATGAAATGAAAATCCTCAAGCAGCAACCGAAGCCACACGTAAAGTTGAGAGATCTTGGTGGGTGATGGATGAGAGGAAATGAATTGAATCTGAGAAAATCTGGGATTCGCACAGTAGACGAGAGGCTCAAATAAAATAAAAAAACTGAAATGTGGGATCGAAGTTCACAAAGAAAGTCTAGCGTAATGAGACAATACTGGATGGTTAGCCACAACAATGAAACACGTCTTAAAAAAAATTATTTGTTAGGTGAGAGACTACTGGTACAGCCATGGAGTGGAGGAAAACTAGTTACCGTGCTATCACCGTTTTCAGCGACTAAGAGACAAAACCACCTGGAATCCACAGCTACACCCTACGACAAGTCACACTTACAACCAAAATCCAGCTGTACCTTCAAAAACCCTTTAAAATACATGCATTCTCAGTAGAGACGACAACATATAAACAAGAAGAAAACGGTCCAAGGAATAACTTAACAATGATGCTGAGATTTGCACAACTGTGGACCACAGGTGCTTGCGGTGGGGAATGAACGCGCTATTACCCCTTCTGGAGAGTTACGCGCTCACCACCACACCATGCAGCACCTTCGTTTCGCCTGTCTCTCAGTTAGTTCTATCGATCTCTGCCATCATAAATCGTCCGTCAGCGGGCAGACACCTGCGGTCTGGAGTTTTGCAAATATCTCAGCATCATTGAAATTATATTTCGCAACATACTCTGCCATTAAAAAGAGTACACAGTAAATAATAAGTTGACGTTGTGGTCCAAGGAATAGTAAGATGAAAATGATAAAGAATATGATCACATTAGGAAATGAAACAATGCAGTCGCTCTTGTAAGCCAACTGCATTCAAAATAAATCATAAACTGGACATCATAAATGGTGCATTGCACAGAATGGGTCAAGCTCATGAAGATGATGGATCGCAAACGTAGTTGTGCTGAGTTCTTCATGATTTTTAAAGACGGACTCCATATGTCTTACTAACAATCGGCGATTTTCGGCACATAAATACGATGGCTTTATTAACATAGCCAAGGCAAGTAACTTCTGGAAAATGAGTATGTACGACGTCTAAATAAGGAAAGTAGTTGCGCGTAAGCACTCTGGAACCCTTCGAAGAACCAGTAAATAGAAAAGTCTTGCAATTTCCATTGTGTTAAACTGAGTCATGTGTTTGATTTTCCATGAGACGAAGAAAATTTAACAAAAACATTATGCACCCACCTTATGCTAATAACGTAACTTTGCCGATTCTTGCTGTATCGTACGAGGAACGTTCCATTTGGTGTCCCTTTCAGTTTTGCTTCAGAATCTGCACGCTCTAATTCACCCATATACCACGGCTGGAGGCTAACTTCGGTGTTCACATAGTCTTGTTGAGGAGTCGGAGTCATTCTAGAATGCATTTTCCTCTTTACTCATACCGAAAAAGTGAATGGAAAGAATTGAGATCGAGTCATGACGACTCACGTAGCATGTTAAAATGATGACTTAGGAAAAGAGATTTGTACTACCTTCCTACAAAACTGTGATAAACACATATTATCACCCATAGCATTTCCATGACAAAAAACCAGTATCATAAAGCAAATGCGTTCCATATTTTAGTAATATATTCAGTAAAAACGCTCCCTTAAGTGGTAAATGTGGTGAAAAATTCAAATAAGAAACCAGATTATGGTTAAGAAGGCAATAAAAAGAGCGTATAATTATGATACAGTGTAAACAACAAGAAATCTGATCCACTGCAACACCACACATCACAGAACTATGGAATTGCATCTCTGTCAATCATACGGTTGAGTATTCGAAATATGAGCTGGAGTATGAGTCATAATAAATAGGTGGTAAAAAGAGAACTGACTAAGTGACGGGAAAATTCGTACAGCGATAAAAATACTTACCCATTAGCGAGCATTCGTCTTGGCAGAACCGTAGACTCTTTACGATCAATACTAAATGCATTGGGACTATCTCGAGAAGAGTTCACACCTTGCACAGAGTTCGCCTACAAACAATCTTAACCTTTCAAGCTGACGAACAGGATTAAGGCGAAGTACTTTAACTTACCCGAACTCGGCGAACATGCTCACTATGTACCAAGCCAATATTCTGTCTCCCAGTCAAAAGGCAGCCCTATGATCGCAAATATCTCTCACCAATTAATAGACTTCATCAATATCTATCACAAGGCAAGCCAAAAATACTAACCAAAAAGGTCCCGTTTCCGTGATTCTGAACTATCTCAATGATGTCATCTTTTTCGAATTGCAGAAATCCTGCGTCGTTTGCGGAGTACCGTGATAAAGCAACAACTTGATCTCCATGAGATACTAAAGGAGAGAAAAGACACAGAAACTATGCGATTCACAAAATTCACACGAGCTTTTGGTTTAATAAATCGACAGCGCTGGTGTCGTTGAGTCCTCTCAATGCTCTGAAGGTAACACATCTCCGTTCCTGTTATAACAGGAGTTTATTTTCGAAATCTTCAAGCCAGTTGCAAAACAAGAGCTGAAGTTTGCCTGGAGGTGGCAAACATGGAATTGGTTCACAGTGCAATTCTCGGGACTAACGGATGAATAGTGTTTTCACTATGTTAACCTTTTTATTTACTGCCTATTGCAATTTTTCACGGTAAGGTAGTATGTGTGATACAACCACAATGATGCTGAAATATTTGCAAAACTCCGGATCGCAAATGTCTACGGTGGGGAGTGGGGAACAAGCGCGATATTACCCTTTATTTGGAGTAGCGCGTTCACCACCACACCATGCGTGTTCTTCGTTTCGTGATTGGTGATGGCACTGCTGATTAGAAAATTAACAGAAAACAAGACAAAACGAAGGACATGCATGGTGTGGTGGTGAACGAGCTAGCCCCCGGAAAACGTAATAACGCGTTCGTTCCCCACCGCAGACATCTTCGGTCCGGACATCTGTAAATTGTATTTTTCTTGCTTGTAAAAGCACATGGTGCCCTTCGTCTAAGTTGGCGATATGGAGGGGTTTTTCAATCTCATCACATTACTCAGCATTATGCTATAAAATACAACATCAAAGTTAAAACGTACAAACGTGTAACTTACGACCATGACAACTTTGCCTCCACTGCATCCCGTTAGTAGACAAGTTGCTGTGGGAAACTGATGTCGTCTGACGTCGACCAGCACACGGACGTAATGCTATACATCCTTTATGTAATAAACCTCCACAATCTAAAAACCACAAAAAGAAAGAGAAAAAAACCTGCATAAAAGAAGTATATTGTTTGCTTGAAAAATCTCTCACTTGATTAACATACTTTCACACTTATAACCTTGAAAGAAAAGGCCCTTGAGGAATTTTTCGCAAACTCCACATTTATACGGTACGTCCACATTGAAGCTTTTGTAGTGTACCTTGTGACCCGTACCGTCCACTTGCTCTGGCAAGACATTACCCCTGAATAGAATAGAGAACAAAATAGGCTTAACCAAAAGCACAAAACACAATTTGAATATAGCTGGGGAAAGTGAAATGTAAGAAGCAGAAAACAACAACTATAGTCGAACTGTAGAAAGAAAAATATGCGTACATGTTACTTAGCCTAGCATTAAACACGGAGTATATTTGGAAAATAACACAACTGTAGCCAAAGAAATACCGAGCTAGCTCAAAGTGATGGAGCCACTTTTCCCGCTGTTGAAGCACTTTGAACGCTAGTGCTAAATACCTTACTGAATCTTGAGTGCAAGCACGTTCTTCTCGTACCAAAAACAGTAGATACTGATTAGTAGAGGCAATCTTGCTAAAACATCTCAACTACAAAAAGCATCTTTCAACGAAAAAAAGCGGAAGTACCCACCGAGATATTGTTCCCATCTTTACATCAGGCATTGGATTGTCAAGAGTAGGATGAAGTTCAGAGATAATATATGCAGATTTGTAGGTATACGTATTGTTCTGGAAATCAACAATACTACCCATTTGTTTGGGCCCTAGTTAATTAACAACCTACTCTATTAGCTTTGCAAATAATCAAAACTTTGTCAAAGATAAACACATGACGTTGTTTCATCTTCCCAAATTGTTGATTCGTCGACTCAGCGAGCCGCACTTCCCCGTCAGCATTCAATCTGCCGTAGTCCATGAGAGTGACATCTTCCGGCTGGAAACAGTTTACTAGAAAGGAATCGACTTCTGTGTATTTGGCAAACGAAAATATCATCAACTAAGCATTTTTAAAATCATGAGGGTTCACATAAACTCTGATGAATAAACCTGCAAAGATAGGCAAAGCATATCGACGACAAAACTTTTATTTAACATCTGCACAATCTAAAGACCTTATAACAACGAACTGATGTGGATTTTTCAAAAGAAAAAAAAGAAAACTTCAAAAAAACCTAACCAACCATCGTTAATTCCGTGATACTGTTCTGGACCTCCACAATTAGCTGTTTCGTTTCGTTATCACGCTTCATCTCGTTAACGTATGAGTTTACGTCATCCATTGCTTCTTTAGCTAACTCGAGAGACTTTCTGTCGGGAGAGTCGAATGAGGTCGTTTTAATCAATTCCTCAAATAGTAGTCAATTTATGCAACTACAACACCATCGCAGTACTGACAAAATTGCAGGATTGATAAAAGTGGTTGAATGTGAAGATAAAGGATAAGGCACTAGACGTTGATCAATCCCTCACGGGTGTACCATGCTTTATCAAGCATCGTAAAGGCGATTTTAATGCAAATGACCTAAGCAATAACTTCTGTGAGCCTATCGATCCATCAAGGCAGTGTTTTGTTATCTTTCCAGACAAGCCTGGTACCAAATTGCTACACGGAATGAATGGTGGCCTTGGCTGGATCGGGTCGAACAAGTGGGTACTGCAAGATAGCTCTAGCAAGTGCAGCACAAAAATTTCTATGAACACAATGAATGACACAAAATTCGGAATATCAGACTGGAGTTCAATTCACCGACATAGTAGGAACCTGAGAGAATGGTATTTCCACCACTTCCAGGAAAAAAGTCGCCAATAGTCTACCAAAGTGGACGTGCTTTCATAGCTAGTAAGGACAGAAGCCAAAGAAAAAAACATAAGAAAGTGTAAATACGGAGAAGAAAATGGAATAAAATGCGCCAAACAAGAGGTTGTGAAACACACTAGTCAGATGGTTATAACTCAAGGTCATCTTATAAAGGATAAAAGATAATGGTCTAGGCGTTGATCTATCTCTGAAGGATGCGCCATGCATTCGACTTCATTAAGCATGGTTGGAGGTGATTGAATGGCCTTTACAATGACTCGCGGTAACCTACCGATGTTTCCAGTGAGTGCTGCCATCCTCCCAGACAAGCCTAATATTAATTTGCCGACCACGAAAGGTTGGAGGGCTTGCTGGACTTGGGGCGCAAGAGTCGATCCATGTTTATTACAAGGCGCCTCCCACCACTGCGCTACACGCGCTCTTTTGAACTATCTTATGTAAAAAAAAAGAAACATATATAAATAAATTATGTGCACATATAAAATTCCCAGCATGTATATGCGTGAACTCACCAATAACAATATATGGTACTTCAACACACGCTGCATAGGCAAACACAATAAGTCTTGTAACTTGAACTGGTTGTCGTTTACGGACGAGGTACACTCCTACACAAGTGGTAATCGAAGGAATGAAGTTTGAAAAAGAACCACAAGGTAAAAGAAATAACGCATTACACACGTATATTTTTGCTTTAGCGACCGGATCACTTTTTTCAAGTTCGAGAATGCGAGCCCTCGAGTCACCCAATCCCATACAGTAGGGGCCATAAGCAATAAATTTGTCTTTGTGTCTGGAATATGTCCGTTAACTAAGATAACAATGAGAAGCTGCAGTGTCAATTACTAAGAGAAAATGGAACAGAAATGTAGAAGACAATAAACACAACTTACTGAACAAAAACATCTCCAATGGTGTTCCCTAATGAAAGCGAATTCGGTCGGCCTTCACCAGATTGAATTAAACCTAAGGTTTTCAGCACAGCATGACGTAAATCACCATAAAACGAGTGGTGCAAGTTCCAAAGGGTCTAAAACACTAATTTACTAAAATTAAACAAATAAAGCCCAATTTTTTTAGATATGCACATACCATTATATTCATGAAAATTAATTTGTGATCCGCCTCACGAAAAACCTTCTGAAGTGGCTCATAAAACTTGTTAATAATCATATTAAGTGCCTTCTCGACATAATTCTGCTCAGTATCCAGGAGCTCTTTCATGCAGTGTTCCCGCTTTGATGATGGCGAGAAACTTGACCACACCTAAACAAGTAGGTATTCATAAAAAAGTTCACCGCTTCTTGATGATTCGGTCACATTCTTTACATCAAAGAACTCATAATGAGACGTAGCTTACGTCATGTCTTCGTTGACTATCTTTTCGACAAACGATATGGTCATAGATAAACTGTGGTTCCTCTTCGTCGTTTCTAAACAGAAGAGAAGAAAGCGCTTTCTTCTAGCCGTAAAAATCATATAGTAACATGATTACTCTGCACACCGAGCTAAGAGTTCAGAACACTATTTCAAAAGATGAACTTACTTTAACGGAGAAATGTCATAGACAGTAGCACCTAAGTCCACTTTGTCCAAATCGTCTTGTAAGCTTCGATAGATAGCTTCTTCCTCTGGAGGAGGATGCAGGCGGGGAGGGGGAACGGTAGAGAACGACAAACTTGATGTGGAAGGAAATGGTCTATACAAGCAAAGTTGTTACTCCGAAGTATAGAAAAAACGACATCATCAAAAGAATTTGAAAACTTCCGGTCTTTACGAAAGTCCGCCAACCTTAATAAATTTCACGAGAAAGAAAAAACCCAGAGACAAAAACAAAGCAGTAAGGAGCAAAAAATAAGAGCAATAAAAGGTCCAGAATCGCCTAAAACTCACTTAACGTTCTTCTGCAATGCCATTTCCGAATAAGATAACATAGAAAGCACGGATAGAACTTTAGCGAAATCTTGTAATCGAAATAGCTCCCAAGCTTCGAACATCTGCTCTTGTTTAAGATGGAAATGCGTTTTGCAGGCACCGAGGAATAAGCATATATTCTTATGGCAGGTGAACTTAAATCAATATCGGTGAAAAAACTACTTCACTAACAAAATGAAAAACAAACTTTGGAAAGACAACAATACTGTAGACTACCCACGTAGCCCGACAAGAAATCGGAAGTGTGGATCACAGGTCCATGCACTCACCTCTGACATATGAGGACGTCGCTGGATTTCCTTTTCTTCAACACATTCCGGAGATAACTCATTCAGCAGACGACATAGTAGGACTCCATCTCTGGAAAACATCTCAAAGAATGAAATGATAACCATGTGAACAGTGAAACGAAGAATGTCGAATAACCCTTCTCGACGCTTTCCGAACTTGAACGCACTTGAAAAAACCTCCCGAGACAATAGGAACATCTAGCACCTACTCGTTTCGTCGCGACAGCAAATAAAAACTTCTTTGAAGTGGTAAATGACGGGATAACGGACATCGTGTAAAAGCAAACGGGTCCAACTATAATGAACCAAACCCCGCACAAAAACAAATTACTAAGACCTAAAATAAGAAAGCCTAGAACAAAGTCGGTTACCAGCTGCAAACAGCTACCTTAACATTGTAGCAAATTCCAGCATTGAGTTCGTCGGTGCTAACCGCTGATCGAGTACTCCCATATCAACCATCCACCTTACACATTCCTTCCATAGTTCATTCCTCTCGGCCGTACACATAAGACCTAAGATGTAAAAGCATTAGGGAAGTTATAAACAAAGATCGGCCCTTAAGTGCATAAATTGAGCCTTGGAAACGTAAACATACGAGAACACAAGGTCAACTCTAAGGTCAAAAAAAAGTGAATCCGTAAGGTAATATGTAGAACTTTGGTGTCGAAAGAACTTTTAATGGATGAATCTAGGATTCTGAAAATCCTAAGTCCTGAAACTCAGCGTTAAATTTCGGAAATTCGGCGCTTAAAAGGCGAGGGTTAAACAAAATGTCGAATAACAACACAAAGTACTCGAGTAAACAGTTGAAAAATATTGACTATTTAAGTTTGTATACTGCCAATCATATTGTTGAAAGTAAATCGGATGAAAAGAGAATGATCAAGTCATTCGTTCATTGCTTAGTTCTTACGAAACTAGTAAGTTTGTAACGATAATTATGGAAAGTAGAGGGCAACGAAAGCGAAAAAGCTTTACATTCTGATAACTGATGAATTTTTAGCCTTAGGAAAGTAATATTTAATTAGGAACCATCAGCTAGGAATAAGATAGCCAGTGTTACGAAGAAAAATCGATAATGATAAAACATACAAGTAGTGCTTTCAGGTAACGACTTTACAGAGAGGTAAAGTAATGAACCTAGGCTTAGATTTTATATTTCAACCACAGAAGATGATTTCCTTAGGGAGTTCACTATTGTTTGAAGTACAGAATGGATTTGTTCGTATACCAGATGCTGAACAGCAGCGACGATTATCGATTGATCGATCGATCGAGCTGGACGGAGGCGAAGCATCGATGCCGTTGCGTTCGTGTGACCAAACTGCTACGACGAGAATCGATTACACCCAGATCGATCAACTCATATACTATTCGTTTCTTTTGTTTTCTTTTGTGAATTTAACTAGTAATAACTGTTAATTAATACAAGTAGTAATTCTAGGCAAACAATATGACAGAAAGGCGCAGCGTTAGTTGGCTAGAAAGGATTAGCAGTCATTGAGAAAGACGAACGAGTTCCAGTGCGGTCAGTGCTGAATCGGAAGTCGTATGACGACAGTCGTTTTGGTCACATAACAGTCAGTAGTAAGTAATGTTACTGGTAATGACGTGAGTTAAGCGAAAGCTGACGAATAGAATGCGGATCTCATTCGTCTAAGTGCGATTTCGCATTCAGAAAACGCATTAAGCCAGGCATCGATTCGGTTGCATAGACATATCAGTCGTGTTCGTAATTTACATTTCAGTTGTAATTTGCAAATTAAACCAACTGAAATCTCTACTGTGGCTTCCTTACAGGGTCTATTGAGTACTGAACACGGTACTACTACACTTATCAAACGATGTCTCTTCCCAACAGGGTCTATTAAGTACTGAACATGGTACTACTGCACTCATCAAACGATATTTGTGTTGTGTGGGATTCAAAGAAACGAATAATGCCCATATTTATGATGATATCAATGTCTGTTGACAGTTTCTGCTTATTTAACAATACCGGTTATGAAATTTTCCGGTTTAGCGCCTAATCGTGGCTGGGAGGTGTTCCTGGGTGTTGGGCTGCGATCTACAGCTGGTAGATTCATCTCTTCAGCATGGCCTTCCAAGCTGAGAAGGAGTCTGGCGTTTCCAATAGGAAGCCCAGCTAAGAGTAAACCATTACCAGGATCCACCACCGTCCTAGTATCTAACTAGTCGCATGGTGGCAGATCTCCCTCTGATTCACAAGAAGGCGGCGACTGCCTGGGGTAGTGGCGACCTTGGACAGACTATGGCAAGACTGACCTCGGGACTCCAGCGAAACACAATGGCTAGACCAGCAAAACTCCGAAGTTATGCTGAGGCCCGCTGAACCAGTGAACATGGGCCATCCAAGTATCCAAGAAAGTCTTAATTCGAATAGCAACAATATGGATGGATGTGATAGATCACGTGATGATACAGTAACTGTAAAGGACTAATCTATTGGCACAATGTTCTACGTCGCGTATATGTTTTCTTTTCCTCTAACAATAAACTTTGTTAATTTAACTACTGGAATGTTCTTTTGAAGAACATCTTTGATGACACACTGTGTTGTCCACAAACGGTTCCTGGAAACCCATCTCTTATTCTAGTAGATTATTGAGCACGTTTCCGAAGAAATCCTTTCATACTGGATAAACGTATTCATCCAATATGCTCACTACATTGATTTGGGAAGTAACGGTATTTTAAACTGGTATCTCACCTTTTCGTCTGCAAATTGGACCGACTTCTTGGAGAAGAAAATAATGTGGACTGCGGCAAAAAATCCGCCCCAAACATAGTTACTCTTTTGATCTGATTCGTATTCCTTTGTATTTCTGATATTTAAGTTGGTGTACCTATCCTAGGTAGACTTTTTGACATTCTATAGACCAGATGTAATTTTCTTATTGTTTAAGTGAAGCTTGGGACGTTTGGGACCTTGTTCTCTTCTTTAATAGTCTCACCTATTCGTTAGTTATTAACTTTGCAGTGAACTTTTATCTCGTTTCTAATGCACTTATCTTGTTTACCGGCCTATCGAACTCTTTTGTTGGTTAAACCAGAGATCCGTCACAGTTCTTTTCCTTTTTTCCTTTTATAAGTTGCTGTGTTACAGTTGTGTTTTGAAACCGAGTTTCAGAAGCACGTTTAATGAAATTGCCACCATCAACACTGTCTTTAAATTGTTGAGCTTACACGAATGTTGCTGTACAAAGTCTATTCGGCTAGAGTTTCAAAGTCTTCGTTTTCGTCTTTTTTAGTAGAGTATCGACAACTGTGAGCCATCGACTAGGGTCATCGGGTTCTCATGAAGACGAGGTCGCCAAAACGTTAACCGAATAAAATTATATAGTGACCTTCGTATAAGCTCTGCAAGACACTGATTAACCATGTCGAGGTTGAAAGACAGTCCGTTTCGATGTGCCACCACTGCTTTGGCTCTTGTTGTGTTTCGCTTAGACGTCGACGCTTATACACATGTGACATGCAGGTTTTCAGGATTTTTCTTTTTATTATGCTCGTAACGCAAGTACATCGTTACTTGCAGCAATCGCTTCGACGTATTCATTTTTCTATTCCAAGCCACTGGCAGACGTTTGAAAACGAACGACATTATGAGCCTGGCGAAGACTATTTGAAACGAACATGGCACGGCTTAACATACGACTTCAGACGATGGAGACGCCGATACGAGGAGGTGTGTCAGTTACATCGTGCCTTTGTTACTATAGATTTTGATGCATTTGAAATCTAATTTCCGCAGTGATGCCGAAATTTCTATAAAACTCCGGACCGCAGGTATCTGCGGTGGCGAGCGAGAGCCCTATTACCTTTCCGTGAGCTAAGGCATTTGCCTTCACACCATGCGGGTCCTTCGTTTCGGCCTTTCTCCCAGCCGTTTTTATAGTGTTTTTGCAAATATCTCAGTCTCCCTGTAGTTATATTTCGCAGCATACTCTGCCATGAAAAAAAGGAATAAGCACTAAATGAAGCTCCCAGGATCGACTTTCTCTTAACCTCGGCATTGGAATGTGAATGTGTCGTTTTCTTGTTTAGCAATCGCGAGGTTTTTAAACAGCATACATTTACTTCCATAAAAACACAATACAAAAACACAATACAACGCTAGCTGACGTTTCGGCAGTATCGCCTTCTTCAGAGCCTGGAAGGGTATACTGATATACAATCTACTAGGCCAAACGCTTCAATAACACTCACACAAAGGCGAAAGACTCTTTGGTAATTACACGATCAACAACTTCTCGAAAAACCCACCGCTTTTTCGTGACTTCCAATGGGGAAGTTTAGAACAGCTGATTATAGTCGCATGTGGTTGACGACTGCACCATCCCACATCAAAAATCGATGCGAACGTACGGGATCAGGTCGCGTATGACCTCCGGGCATTCGTCCCTGCTATTCATTGTAGGGTCTTTGGCATTGATCCAAGAAGCCTCTAGGAGTTTTCGCGCTGGTGTTTTGGACTCCTGTGCAAGGATACTGATACTTCAAAATCGTCTCCGCTATGCTTTTGTATCCTATGCGTGCCTAGTGGGGTGCTTCGTCTTAGTTTTCGTTTGCCATCTAGGTGTTCTTTTATACGGATACACAAAGGTCTGCCCGTTTCGCCAATATATTCATCTCCGCAATTGTTACACGAGATCAGGTATATCGTACCTGAACTCATGCAATCACCGTCCCTGCCGTAAGTGCAAATTACGCAATTTGTTGTTTCACACAGACGGTCATGCAGGCGGTTGCGAACTAATTGGCGACGTAGAGTAGTCGGTGGTATTTCAACTATCGCTACCGATTCCTCTAGACCTGCCCTTCTTAAGCATCGTTTTATAGCTGCGCTTACTTCATCGCTTATAAAAAGCAACATAAACGGGATTTTGTTTTGGACAAGTGTTTCGCGTGGGCGCGTCGCTCTCCTTGTAAACTTATCTCGTGGGGTTACTATTTCGTAGCCATTGGAGATGGCTATTTGCCGAGCCAAATCGCGCGATTCTTCCTTTAGTTCCCTGGTAGTGGACACAGAGGTGGCTGTTCGAAACATGTTTCTCACAATCGCCCTCTTTGTGTGTGAAGGGTGGGAAGAAGGGAAATGGATAAGGATGTTCTTGTTACTTGGCTTTCGATACCACTTTGTCAGGTAACCGCTACTTGATAGGTTTATTTGGACGTCCAAAAACGGAAGCCAGTTTTCTCTCGGTTTCTCCCGGGTTAACTTTATGTACTCGGACTGCTCGTTTAATAATTGGAAGCATTTGTCCATCTCCTCCTGCGTAGAGAAGACGACAAAACAATCATCTACATATCTGCAGTAGAGTAGTGGCCGAAGATTGAGAACAGGGGCTTCTATCTTAAACATAAACACAATGGCCAGGTTTGGTGCCAATCGCTGTCCCATTGCCAACCCCCTTATTTGCGCGAAATATTTCCCAGACCATCTGAAGATCGAGCAGTTAAGCAATCCTTTAAGAGAGCCATTAGCTGCTGGATGGACAAGCCATGCATATTTATTCTTCCTTCATGTTCAACAAGGAGTTCGAAGATGGCATGCATTGCGGAGTCATTCGATACGTTGGTGTACAGTGCGGTAACGTCGAAAGACTCCATCACGTACGCGTTATTGGGAGACGCGTTACGTAGACGTTCTAGGAACATTTGGGTGTTTGTGAGGTGAGTTGGAATGTGGTTAAGCAACTGGGTAAGTATCAGGTTTAAAAACCAGGTTATTCTATCCGTTGACCCGTCTACGCAGCTGATGATCGGTCTAACCTTAAATGATGACAGATTGGTTGACCCATGATCATCAGGTGATACCAACTTATGTGTTTTAATAAGTAGGTATAGGACGGGACATGTTGGTCTATCGATTTTAAAGTGCGAAATAACCGATGATTTTAAACCCGCAGCCTTTGCCACGCTGACCCGTTGATTGTTTAGCTTTCGGTATTGACTTTTATATTCCTTTTCAGAGGATGGGCGATAGAGAGTAGCATCACTAAAATGTTCCTCTGTTATCTCAACATCCAGCTGGCGAGGGATAACTACGAACTCTCCCCCCTTATCACTAACAGACAATCTTATTGTTTTCGAGTTTATTAATTCTCCAATTTCCCGCTTGCCACATTTTTGTGCGGCTGTAAGGTTAGAGATAAACTTTCTATCGCGGTAGTGATCAAGGGTCTTGAGAACGCCGTCCGAAAACGCGCGGAATTTTATGTCAACTCCATCGTTAGGGTCCTGCTGTCTAAAGAACGTTTTTGGGAAAGGAGATGGTGGTAGTGTCGCCGCTTCTTGATTTTTATCTCTATTTGATGTTTCTTGCTTGGCCTGATAGCGGAGTCGATCTTGAAGCTCATAAAGGTTGCATGCTATCCTACGCAAGGTCGTTTTAGAAATGGGCTGTGATGGTGCAAAATTTGGGCCCAATTCTAATAGCGAGCGCGCATTCTCAGGTATTGTTATGCCCCCAATCACGGTGACCCTAGATTTTCTTGGTGCATTATCAACCCNTTCGTTTGCGGTTGTTTCTTGAAGTTGAGACGTGTGAATTACCCAACAGGCTTTCGAATTTTCGTTGTAAGGTTATTTTGGCATTAGATCTAATAAAATTGCATATCAATATTGACCCACCAACTATGCTCCTCCAAAGGCGATCCTCCAAATACAAAGCACAAAAATGTTCCTTCGTTGCACACTTCTTCATTCTGGCAAACATCTCGTTCTGCTTGCTTCGTAGTGCAGCTCGAAGTAGTTCCATTTCGATGCCTCGTACTTGTTGGCTGCCTTCTGGTTGACCGCATATCTCGTGANCAAAGGCGATCCTCCAAATACAAAGCACAAAAATGTTCCTTCGTTGCACACTTCTTCATTCTGGCAAACATCTCGTTCTGCTTGCTTCGTAGTGCAGCTCGAAGTAGTTCCATTTCGATGCCTCGTACTTGTTGGCTGCCTTCTGGTTGACCGCATATCTCGTGAAGTCGTTTTCGTTTTATAAACTTCGGCACGGCTCGATGTTGAAAACAGCGGCGGAGGAAGTTGATTTGCTGTCTAGCTAAGACAATCTTCTGTCTTAGTGACAATGCTTCCTTCACAAGTCGAAAGTATTTTGCTGGTACATCTTGTAATAGTTCCCAGGATCGACTTTCTCTTAACGTCGGCATTGGAATATGAATGTGTCGTTTTCTTGTTCAGCAATCGCGAGGTTTTTAAACAGCATACATTTACTTCCATAAAAACACAATACAATACAACGTTAGCTGACGTTTCGGCAGTATCGCCTTCTTCCTTGTACAGGAGTCCAAAACACCAGCGCGAAAACTCCTAGAGGCTTCTTGGATCAATGCCAAAAACCCTACAATGAATAGCAGGGACGAATGCCCGGAGGTCATACGCGACCTGATCCCGTACGTTCGCATCGATTTTTGATGTGGGATGGTGCAGTCGTCAACCACATGCGACTATAATTAGCTGTTCTAAACTTCCCCATTGGAAGTCACGAAAAAGCGGTGGGTTTTTCGAGAAGTTGTTGATCGTGTAATTACCAAAGAGTCTCTCGTCTTTGTGTGAGTGTTATTGAAGCGTTTGGCCTAGTAGATTGTATATCAGTATACCCTTCCAGGCTCTGAAGAAGGCGATACTGCCGAAACGTCAGCTAGTGTTGTATTGTATTGTGTTTTTCTATGGAAGTAAATGTATGCTGTTTAAAAACCTCGCGATTGCTGAACAAGAAAACGACACACTAAATGAAGTGTTCACTAATTTCCATAGGGCGCGTGTGGCGCAGTGGTCGGAGGCACCCTGCAATGCACACATTGGATCGATTCTCGCTCCCATGGCCCACCAAGTCTTCCATCTCTCCGGACTCGGCAAACTAGTACATTTGTTTGGGAGGGTAGCAGCACCAGCTCGGTACATCGGTAGATCACCGCGAGTCATTGTACAAGCCAAATATGCGTTCAATCATCTCTAGCAATGCTTGCTGAAGTCCAATGCATCGCACATCCCTTAGAGATTGATCAACGCCAGTCCCCTTATCCTTTACGGTTTTACTCCTCGCCAAAGATAAAATACTATCCAATGAAGTATATTTATCGATTGTTGTTCCGTTTTTTGTTTCGGCTTCCACATTGTCTTTGAGTGGTCGGTCATTTTTTCACTCATGCTTTGATTTTTGATCTCAGTTTTAAAATCGTGTTCTAATCAGCTAGTGGGAAAGCCGAATGAAGGAATCGTTGCCGAATGCACACTTTTTTTGTGTACACATAGTGATAAAGACGTGGAAATCCCCTGCAAGGCTAAGTCTGCACTCCAAGACATTAAATTGTGCAGTCAGCATCAGGTGAGTACCAGTACTCACACCAGGGGCTCCCATCTGTGATATTAGGCGGTGAGTCGCCATAAAATCTCATATTGCGAAGGACGTCACTGGAGCCGGATTTGGCTTACACACAGACGATAGACCATGGAGATGGTTTCTTACTGTGCATGTATAGTACTAGAACGCTCTCTTCAGACGCTTTTCTTCGTGCTGTTCTCGAAACCACAGATCGCATAGAATTTCATGCGGTCGCTTTACAAGAAACAAAAAGAAAAGCAGCCGACATGAGGCAATTAAGCAATGGACCTTTGTTGAAGTTTCGGTGGCTTAGGCTTTGTTGTTCACCCGTTGTAGTAGGACTCCTGTCTGCAACACTCCACTTCCGTTGAAATTCGTTTTTAATGAAGAAGTAAAGCCTTGTT